TCGTAATCTACATTTCAACAGCAACTCGCACAAAAAGAACAGAAGAAATTACTTTTCTTTGTATAAAGGTACATACAGTTTTAAAAGTTGCATGAATGTATACAATGTCAATGTTAAAGTATAATTTCAGACGCCATAACATTATTTCTCGAGGAACGTCAGAAGCAACCGTGTCGACGATTTAGAACTAGTGGACAGTGTCAATACGGTTCTAACTGTAATTATTCTCATTACACCTTTGAACAATTAATTAATCTAATCAATCAAGGTAATTTTTATTTTATATTTTCTTAGATTAGATTTAATTAGTTGTTATCAGTAAAATAAAGCATGGTTTGTAATTAATTATTACAATGAATAAAGCCCATTTATTATATTTACATAAAAAAAATATATCTGTCTTTTATTAGGTAGTTGGTGGTACTATGAAAGTAAATATTAGCTTACATTAACTGTTAACTACGTTTAAATAATGATTCAAATTTACCCATTTATTTAAATTTGTGCTTTTTTATGTGTATATATCACGTATTGTGTGTAATTATTAATGTGCGTACATTTATAAAAAAATCAAATACGTAATTTAAATAATATATTTCCTATTAAACTTTAGGTTATCATAGAGGTACCAATAATCATGATTTCAATAATAATAAATTTTCACATTGATAAAATATAGTCAACTAATAATTTTAAACATGAGAAAATCATGATTTTGTAGTGTATGAACACTCATCTGTTCAATATCAAGTATTTAAGAAATTATATATGTGATATACCAGCAAATGTAGTAACCCGTATCAGATTCTGATTTTAATACGAATCGGTACGTATTAAATTTATTTTCTTGAAAATGTTGACTGATTGTTTGACAAATAATTACAGAATAAAAATATATTACAGCATCTAAATTCATTTTGACTATTTTAATAAGATGTTATTAAATAAAAGGTAGTTAATAACTATTATGTTTTATGTTAGAAATAAAATTGTTATTTATTGCTCTTATTTTTTTCATTAAATAATTAATTAAAAGTTATTTTCATACAATAGTTTTACCATTTATTTCTATAAATAATATTTTATGTAATATATATTATTAAATCAAGCATAATAGTACATTATTTGACATTATTTTTTTGAAGTTTTTTATGTAATACTATTAAAATATATAGTTACTAGGTATTTTGTTAATATTGTATAACACTCTTGCAATATTGCGAGTATCTTTAATAAAATATAGGAACTAATTTATCTATTAGTCAAATTAGATCCCTTAATGTTATCTATTCTTTAATTGTTACTTCATATGGAAGTAGGCTAATTTCAAGATTAAATATTTGTCTAATAATCTTAAACTTATGTTCTGTGTTATTGATTTTCACTATACAGTTTATTATAATTTAAATGGTTTTATGTCAAATAATTTTGTACTCATCTCAATGAATATATATTGCCTTTTATTCAAATGTATAATAATTTATCTTTAAATTTCTGGTACTTAGTATTCCTGCTTATAGAATATACAACAAAATAAACCAGTTACACAAATAAAAATTAGTATCTATTATTAATGTTTATAAGTTATAACTAAATATTTATAAATTATCTATTAACTATGTAAGTATAACATTGAAAACTACTAAATAGTTAATTTAATAGTAAAAATTATTTTAGTAGGTATATAATTTTATTGATGATATTTAATAACTTATACATTTTGTTTACAATGTACCTATGTATACATAATTTATAATTAAACTGATGCTCTTTATATTAATTAAATAAATAAATAAATAATATAATAAATTTAACAAAATAATTAAATATTTCCATTGTAAAGCATGTATAAACCAAGTATAATTTTATTTAATAACAATTATTAATGTATTTTAGATTCCATTACATTCTTCTATATTCGATGATGATGGGTGAACTGGTGGCCCTTGGGCCACATTTTTATCTGGCCTGTTCTAAAGTTTTAAAAATATAAGTTATTTAATACATTTAATGTCCTAATATTTTAACTAAGATTTAAGTTTAGTATATAAAATAAATAAATGTGTATTTTTAAAATATTTATAATTTAGTTCAGGGGTCTCAAAAATTTTTTATTTGAGGACCACATAAATTATCAAAAGGTTTTAGTAAACCAAAATGTATGAACTCATATAATTCCTTATCTTATTAATTAAATATACTTATAAGTATTTAAAAAATAGTTCTTGTAATATATTTAAATATACTTAGTATTAATTTAAGTAATAATTTTTATTAATGAAAAAAATGAAATTGATGTTATTTTGCTAATATTTTATTGAATTGAGATTATTTTTACTGATTCCAATTTTTAAAATTGACTCCAAATGTTTGTCAGACATGGCTGATCTATATGTTAATTTAATGTATTTTATTTTAGAAAAAGCTTGTTTGCACAAATAAGTTATTTTATTTTAAGATTTGTGATACATTTAATTGCAATTCTTTTGAAATTTGGATATAATATATTTAGAAGAAATTTATAAAAATCAACTAAAGTTTCTTCACAATATTTGATTGTTAATACATTGTTAAATTGCAAAGAAGAAATTGTCAAATATTTTATTTCTTAATGCCTTCAAAAATTGTACTACTTAAGTACAGAAATACTTTCTTTGCAAATTAAATATATTTTGTTATTTGAACAAATGACCAAAAAATTCAACAATCACTTTTTATTTAAAACAACATTCTGAATCTATTTTTCTTTTTAGTCATCTCGTGAATCTTAAATTAGTAAGCAAATCTAATAGTTATTATAATAAGTTAACCACAGATGTAGATATAAATGTAACTGAACAGACATTGTCAATTGATTTCGTCAATATGACTAATCTTTCTCACTATTTAAATGTTATCGTTTAGTTCGTAAATTATAATACAGGTGATAATTGATGTGTGTGCGCTTTAATGACTTTAAATATTACTCATATTTTTAAATTATTTATCATCCTTTAAGGGGGGGGGGGGGATGATTAAAGCTTGTTCTCAGACCATAGTTTGGAGATCACTGATTTAGTACGTCATATAAATCTCAACATGAGTTAAATATTGTTAAAAATATTATATTTGTTATAAAAATAAAACATCTAATATATAACAATATTTTTTGTGACTCATAACAATTTAAAGTTTTACAAATTGCCCCTCTAGTAACATTGAGTTGCCTATCTCTAGTGGGATCACCATATTTTTGAATCATAGAGGGGGGCATATTAAAACAACCCACCTATCCTTCAACTTGAAAATGTTTTAATATGCAATTCACCTTGAAAAAATGTATTTAACATTATTTTAAAATTTTATTCAATATACATGCTATGTCATATCATATTAATAGTGATTAAAAATTATAAAATATTAACAAAACGCTATTAATTGTTGGAATGTGGTATATATATATATATTTTTTTTAAATACATTTCTTCATAGTTATTATCATTTATCAAGTATCTATACTCTTTGGAATAAAAATAACGGTATTCATAATAATCTATTTTCCCGGAATTTTAATTAAATATATTATCTATAGCCTTTAGGTAGATAGGTTTTAATTATTTTATTACACCGTTAAATTACTAGTATCCTAATTAATCTGTATCTCACAATTGGTTAGTTACTCATTTCTAAAATCCATCCATCCAAAAATTTTGAAAGATAATTGTTCCTAAGATTGATTTAGTGATGCCACTGCCGATGCTGGTATGAGATGTTTGTACAATAGAAAAGCTTGTGCCTCTTTAAAGTACATTGTCGTTTGAAAATAGTAATATTTAGTTTTCAATCCTATAATGATTATTATTTATCGATATTCAAATTATTTTAAACAAAACCCAGGTATTTTCTCATAAAATTAATTGCATTTTTCTTGTACATCAGTTATTTCAAGTATCAGTATGTTTATTAAATATTGAATTCACATTGTTTCTTTAAAAAAATTTTTGAACATAACTGGGTAGTGGCATTCATTTTATCATGGAATATATTTATTTCTGATATCATATTATGAATTATATATATTCTAGCAATTGTCAAATTAAAGTCTGTTTAAAAAAGAATTTGTATTCCATAATTATATATTTTTCTTGAGTATGTGTTACTGGTATCTTCTTTAAGTAAATTTTTAACTAAAAAATGCTGATTCTGTAATTTTCATTCAACAGTTGAAAATTTTACAAATAATAAATGTATTTACACTAAAATTTTTAGTTATGATTTTATGAATATTGTTTGTAAAAAACTTGTTATTAATTAATTAAAGTAATTTTATTTAGATATTATTTTTTATTTGAGGAAGTTGCAATTTGTTTCCTGTAACCTTGTTTTATTTAGAGGATGTTACATAAAGATTATGTTATCTCTTTTTCACATGTAAAACGGCAACAATTATATGTATTTATTTGAATTGAAAATTTTAAAATAAAAATATGCATAACAACTTTTGTGGTATCTTATAGTATTTTGTTTCTTTGTATAAAACATATTTCACAGCATAAATGTTTAGATACATATTTTTTTTCTATCACTTAATTCAAAATAATTTATATTGTTTAAAATACAACAATGATTAGAAAATATATATATAATTTTATACTTTTGAAATTGTTATTTTAATATTGAATGTTTTACCTTTAAAATAACATTCTAATGTATAAGACATCTTTGTAAACATATATAATATATATATTACGTAACAGAGGTATAAACAATGTCTGTATAAGGCATTTTCTCAAAGTAAATATTGAGATGATATCCATAACAACAGCTATGAAAATTAATATTTATTTATCTTAATTATTATTCCATATTTATTTTGAATATTTTTTTCTTTCAGAAAACAAAATAAAGATTTGTAGACAAGCTGAAAAAATTAATTCAATTCCGACAATTGATTCATGGTTAATAAAGTATCAACAAAACTTATTCACTAAAACTACAAGTAGTGAAACAAATACCAAAAACTTACAATTAAATTATCAGTATAGAAATTTACCATCTTTAGCTCCAATTGCTAATTTTGATAAACTAAAGAGTATAACTCTGAACACTTGGTCGTGAGTGTTATTTTAACTAACAATTGATGCAATATCATAATCAATTAATGCTTTTTATTATTTGATTACTCAGGAGTTTCCAAGGATGACTTCTATAGTTCATCAAAAAAACGGAACAGACTTAAACAACTCAATTTCTTCATCTACATTGAATTCTAATTCCAATATGATCTTCTACAAGTCTGAGTTCCGCGAGCAGTCTGAGAATAATGCTCTACCAAATAAACCAGTTCAAGACTGTTTGACTGATAATCCTAATCTAAATATTTCTATTAGTAATGTAGTAACAAACTTCAGTTTAAAATCACATTTAAACCTACGATACTTAGCTCTAAATGGTAGTAATATAGAATACAGACGTGAAAATGGGATGTTAACAATGAAACTCCGTAAACCAAATGCAACAGCCACCATATGGTCTAGTGGAAAAATTGCTTGTACTGGTTCTACATCTGAAACTCATGCTAAAATTGCATCCAGACGTTTTGCTAGAATCATTCAAAAACTTGGTTATCATAATGCTAAATTTAGCAGTTATAGGATTGTCAATGTTCTTGGATCATGTTCATTACCATTTCCGATTAAAGTCATACAGTTTTCGGAAAAGTATAAAACAATTGCTCAGTATGAACCCGAGTTACATCCTGGTGTTACTTTTAAGATCAAAGAATTAAAAGCTACATTGAAAATATTTTCAACAGGCAGTATTACAGTAACTGCTCCAAGTGTAAGGAATGTTTACCAGGCAATCGAGCAAATTTATCCCATGGTATATCCATTTCGTCGTGAAAAAACCGCAGAAGATGAAAGAGTGATACGCAAATTAATGACAAAAAAACGAAATTTCACTGATATTGATGATAATTTATCAATTTATAACTCGGAAAACAGTGTAACAAAAAGAAATTGTGATGGATTAGCCATTGGCATAGTAAAAGTTGAAAACAATTTAGAAAATATTATTAAAGAAGAATATGAAAATGATCTCTGAAAAATATTTCAGTTACCCAAACTGAACACCACTTACAGTTTAGTAAATAACAGCAGAATTTTTTTTATAATTTTTGTCAAATGTTTAAAAATAAATTATAACCTAAAATGGAATTATTAATATTTTTAAAATGATCATTATGATAAATGTACAAAAATTAATTTTTTTAGTATTTTACTTTAGTTGTAAGCTAATACAATCTAGATTACTAGTCTTTGTGTTTTACAAAATGTACATGTATACATGTAATATTTATATTATATCTATATATATTTTTTTTGTGTGTTAATGTTCCTCGTTAGTTACAAAAATAATTTTGCTTTTAAGCTTTTTCCTCATATTATTATTATTTTTTTTTTTTTGTTCCATTAGTTATATATATAAAAAAAAAAAAACATTTTTATGAAGTTTCAAAATAATTTTTCATGAATTTTAGTATGAACAGCAGTAATAAAAGCAATAATCATAATTTTAATATTAATTTTTTTTTTAATGAGTAAATGAGAAAAACGTGTTGCTTTTTAAATTATTGGTGCATTGGTTATTATTTTACCTAAAAAAAATTCATTTCTTTGGGAAATTAACAAAGTTATTTCATTATCATATTTATGTTTTCAAGCGTATGTGCGATAGTTATGATTATTTTTAGTTGATAAATAAATAATTATAGGTTTTATTTTGTTCTGCTTATTATATTAAATTAAAATAATAAAATAAATTCTTGTGATCTATTAAATTGTTCTAATTTTTTAATATTTACCTTATCTTATAACCTATCAAATTCCTTTATCGGAAATTTTGAACTTAATTCATGGTCACGACGTGAAAACTGTAATAATATCAATAGTTCAGCTGTTTTTTTATCGTCGATGATGTGTTATGTTTTTTACCATGGAGCACGGACTATATAAGGCATATTAATGTGCATACCATAGAGCTATAACGTGGTAAGTTAATACGCTTGTGATAATCATAATTCATAGGCTAAAATTATAAAAATAATAATGTTCATATTATTCATTCGGGAAACAAAACCCAGCAACACGACAGATTAAAAAAGTATGTCAACAACTCGTGATACGAATGTAGCAGTGATGCTGCTGTAACGTAGCATTTCGCCAAACCGTTATCAAAAGTTATAAGTTCTAACTAAAAATAAACAAGTGTTATGTTGAACTAATGTGAAACGGCGGCTTGTCGACGCCACAAGTAAATTTCTGGGAGGAGGGTAAATGTGTAATTTTTCAAAACCAATGTATAATTGACATGACTATTTAATTTTTTGTGGCCAACAAGATCTATAAGGAATTCTATCTGTGTCAGTGTGTCGGTCTGGCCCATTTTCGATATCACTTACGACCCATGGGCCATGACTCGGAAATTTCGTACTCGCGTTGCTCTAATGAAAAAGTCAAGGTTGTTTAACGCATTGTGCATGTCGTTCAAATATTACCTATGTTTTAATGATTCATTGTACATTTGTACGTGAATAAATGTGAACGAGTATTTAGATCGATCTTCTTCTGGATCATTTGACTAGGTATTGTCTTTTTTCAAAGCAAACATTCAATTTATTAACAAGGGTAAAATTGAAAACTACTTTTTCATAATATTTGTGATTATTATTTTTTTTTAAAGCTTGTACAATATAAGGCATTAGAATTCATTAAATATTACCAGTCCAAGGGCTCAATAACGAACCAGACGGACCAGGGATCACTGGTAATTAATAATTTATAATGTTTACTATTGTTTGTTCCACATACATACCTAACTAATTTTTAAATGCATTTAAATAAAAAAACGTTATATAGATATAATATCGACTTTTTTACGTCAGAAAAATATGCATTACAACTTACAAGTTAAAAAGAATAAACGAACAGACGACAGTGGTGTGTATTATCGGTAGCCTAACCACAACGCCGTTGTGCGTCATGGGATTATAATAATTTTACAATACAGTTTTTAATACGATCATAGCTATTATGACGTTTAGCATATTTATTATAAGTTTTTCCTAACAGCAAAGAGCGTGTGGGTGTATGTAAATTCTATCGATTGTGACCTTTATAAAAATAAAATAAAAAATATAAAATCAATTTTCAGTACTGGAAATGTATAACCATTGTCGTAGGCTCGTAACTCAGATAAAATTTAGGAGGTAGGATGTGTTAGAGTTATGTAACTATTGACTACTATTCATTTTTCTGTAATAAAAATATAAATTTAATGTATTATGTATAAACTATAAACTACATTTAATATAATTTTTTTAAATTGTATAACTATCTACGTATAAACTGGCTTTATATTAATTGTATTTTAACATTCTAAGGACATCACAACAAGGGGTGGCAATAAACTCGACTTCTACTACAACATTTAATATTGTTTGTCTTTTTTATTTATGGAAATTTTTAGTCAAAAAGGTAATTATTTTTAAAATTTTTTTTTTTTATGTATTATTATTAAAATGTTTCAGCATATTAGGTGCTATTATAAGTACAAGGTAAGTAATTATAAAATTAGGAAATAAAGTTATAATCAATTTATGTATAAAGAAAAAAGGATTCTGAGAGATAAATTAAATTAGTGAACTTATCTATTCGCAACTTTATAAGGAAAATGTATGAGGTTTATGATATACTAAATTTATCTTATTATTATTATAATATTTTCTTAATTTGATAGATTGAACTAATTTTTATCAAACGCATTGGTTATAAATTGTTACTTTAAAATCACTATAGGTACTGCGTAGAATGGTTTGAATAAATTATGATATAATAATAACAAAAAAAAAATTGTTTTTAAATTTAAAATATAGTTAAAACTTAATGTGGGGAAAAATATAATAAATGAAAAATATCTGAATCAACATTGATATTATATACTGTGTACTTACACCGGTTAATCACTAACAAAAACAAATTGTTCAAACTTGTTACGCCTTCCTCTTATTTCCTCTTGTCCTTGTAATTTGTATAATAACCTTATTTTAAATTTTTAGATAAATGTATTAAATTGAGATACTGGTCATATAATGTTACAGTATACCTACCTCAAATAATGCATTTTATCTAACCTAGGCGCATGAATATTCATAAACAAATTATTTATGTGTATTATTTTGTTTCATATTTTATTAAATTCTATAAATATAGGTAGCCCTAGGTTATAGACTTAACCGGAGGATGTGCAGGGTAATTCAGTAGTACCCTTTAAACATAGGAAATTAAAAAAAAATTCGGTTCTATCTTCGCCAATAATAAAAAATTCACTCACTCTAACAGTATTATAATATTTTTATGGTAAAAGGCTCTGTATATACGTATTTACGCACTTTACATGGAGGATAATTTATATTATATAATAGTAATTTTATCATTAACAAGTTAGTTTGGTAGATATTACTTAATATTATATAGGTACATCGAAAGGTTGTCTTGTATATTAATATATTATTAAGTTCGTAAAATAAATTAACTATTATCGACTATCGTCGCTATTTTTGTTATTATTACAACGAGTAGATACTCAGTAAATATTAGATGAGCTATCCTGTGTTATGTTAAAAAATAGGAAAATTATAAATCAATAATTAGGTAATATAGTAAAAGCATTTAAAAATCCATTAGTATATGCTATATATATATAGATGTATATTTATATGTATAGATATAGGTTTATTAAAAAACAAATACAAGTGTATCATAGTTTATTGATTAATGATTACTAAATTAATATAGGTTAGCATTGAAAATATTGAAACATTTATCTTTAAAATTTAATTCTATATGACTACACAGGATATCCTGGATAAATAAATTGGAATAATGGATGTTAGTATGTTTATCCTTGATAGATATTTTAAATTTTTTATACCTACGTATATCTCATTAGCTCATAAAAAAAAAAAAATAATAATTAAAAGAGCCACAGGAGATATAATTTACGATTTTAATATTTTATTAATAATAATGCTTAACATATATAGCTTATAGATATTATTTTGTTACTCCTTAATAATAACCCATGCATTATAAGCTATACTCTACAATATGTCTTATTCAATTTTTTGCTAGAGACTAACATAATGATTAATAATTATTTTTTATAGCACTTAACGATAATCATGATTAAGCTTATTAGAACTGAGGACTTGGCTATACATTGATCATTGATTACAGATCAATGATCGCCGTAAATAATAACATAGGTACAGCGTATGTAAATTATATTTTATAAATGATATGTTATACGATATAGATCTTAAATAAAATGCCTTTCACCTAGATTATTTATGAGATAATTTAAAAGCAAAAAAAAATTTTAATTTATTTTCAGTTTATGTACAGTTTGTAATATATATATATTTTTTCTTAAATAGACATATTTTAAATGTGAAATGAAAATGATGAAGCATTTAACGTTTGACAAAAATTATATGGATAATAGGTATATTAGTACCTTATTCGTAGTTGTATTTTATATTTCTATATTTCACACACAAAGAATAATGGTTAACATAGATACATGTATTATTTTTTTCAAAAAATAAGTAAAATATTACATTATAATATAATAATAATAATAATAATAATGTTTTATTTAAATACAATCAACTTATTAACCTATGAACATGGACATGTAATATATATAATATGTCCATGCCTATGTATGATAAATATTATAAGTAATAATTTATCACTGAAAACTGATAACAATGGTCAATGAGTTTAAAATTTAAATATTAATTATAGGAATATGAAAAAAAAAATTGAATTTTAATGAGTTAAAACTATAGATTCTGAGCGGAGCGATTAATGTATTGATTTTATAAAGATACACTTTTTTTCTATGCATAAAATACGATTAACAATCTAAAAATATAGTTCGATTATTTACTTTGAGGGTGATTTCGGATAGAAAATTGTATTTAGTTTTAATTTAATTTTTTTCTAATTCAAAAACATTATACACAGGGGACTTATAACTTTTTAGTAAATTATGACTTATACTACACACGCAATGACTTCAGAATATGTAAATAAATTTAAAAAAAATATCGATTAATACAATGAACCTATTCGTATTGTTTTACGGTAAGGATTAACTTAAAAGTTA